AGCGGCCATTGTGTGAAAGCGCTAACAGCATGCTCTGAGCCCATCAGCTCAACTGGCAATTCACATGGTGGAGGTTGAAGACATGAATTGAATTTTCCTCCCTTTGCCTGTTCCAACTAATCAAACTGATTGTAATTAAGTCTGAGCTAAGCAAACACTTTTAGGTGCCATTAACCCAGGGAACCCCCAGCCACAAGATGGGATGACGGCTTATGGTGGGCCATCTACCCAGTTCCTTATCCTTCACCCCTTTTTAGCCCAACTGGAGGGCCCAAACCAGTTTTAATCTCGGTGTAGAAAAGGCTCTCCTTGACAATGTGGCAAGGGATTCTGGGAGTTGAAGTCCAAGTCGTCAAAGGGGCTCTGGGTTGAAGCAGGATGCAAAAGTCTTTGCAAGATGTTTTGGTGGCTGTCCTCCAGATGTGTAAGATCAGGACAAAAAGTAGCTTTGATTTACGTATATTTATTTCTTTATTCCATTTGCACACCATCTTAAGTCAATGACGTCTCGTAGCAATTCATTACGCATTTAATACAGTATTTTTCTCCTTCAACCACATCAGCCATGTCAGAAAACATCTCTCTGCTGCCTTCTGGTGGGTTGTCCCAAGTTTTGCAGGCCAGATGTGGTCGCCTTAACAAATACACAGATTTAAAAGAAACAAGCAAAAACAGGCGCCAAAGCTCAAAAGCATCAATACTCTTCCTCTCCTGCTTCTTCAGAGTCCAACTTTTTCTTCCGTAGAGGGTCACAGGGAAAACCGTGGCTTCTTTGGTTCTGATCTTTGCAGGCAGAGACACATCCCAGCATCTGAATATCTTTTCCAAGGCCTTTGTGGATGCTCTACCAAGGGCTAGTCTGCGCTGTATTTCTTGACCGCTGGTTCCTTTACTACACAACTATTATTTAGAAGACGTCATTTCCCATCTAACACTTGCAGATTCTGTGATGACTATTCACTGCTTGTGCTGGAAAGGTTAATAGTTTACTTGCTCCTGATCACCCTGGAATCAGCCTCCAAGTGAGTGTATCTCAACCTTGGCAACTGTAAGACGTGTGGACTTCCACTCCCAGATGCTGTCTGGGGAATTCTGGGAGTGGAAGTCTTACAGTTGCCAAGGTTGAGAAACACTGCTCCAAATAATGGGATTTGGTTGTTTAATCCTAAATAACACAACCAGGGTCATTCATTTCTTTTTGTGTGACAGCATCTTCTGGAGAAGTCTCTCCCACCACAGCCACTCGCCCAGGCACACCTCTGTCCTAGTGCATCTAACCTGGTCACACTATCCAGGTCAAACAGCAGCTCCTTTCCCAGGGAAATACCTCATATCCCATGAGCCTTTGCGCCAGGGAACATGATGTCACTAGGCTCTTCCCCATTTGCCAGCAAGGAAGAAGAGGCGTGGCTGCTAGCCTGCTTTAGCCAGTCAGTGTTAGGAGGGGGCGCTCTGGGCCATCAGACACGGGCAGTGAGTTTGGTAATAAAGAAGCTTGTCCTTTGGGGGCTGTTCTTTCTCCCCAGCTCTTTTTCTTGGAGGACTAAATAGGTAAAAACGGCTTTAGGTATTCTTACCGCACTAGTATTATCATTATCTTTAGATTTCTATCTAATAATATTTATTTTTATTGATAAATACATTGATAAATATTCAATATTTATGTTT